CCCCAGTGCACCTTATAAATATAAAAACCATAGAATAAAAAACACACATCCTTCACATTCTTTTCTGGAGGGTAGAAGGGAAGGTGGGGAGAAATACTTTCAGACTTGTAAGATTCTGTTAATGTAACCTTACAAAAAAGATAGAGGTAGTACTCACAGTAGTGCTTCTTGTCTGGACTACCTTGAAGGGCTAACAGTGATTTTATTCTATCATGTTGGTCTGTCATGCAAACACTGTTTGTCATGGCAAATGAGGCAGCCCCTTGCTAGGTGTCATGGTGATGCTGTTGTTGTTTTCCTTGAGTATCAGCAATATGCGTGCCACTCAACGTAAAAACCTCAGGACAATGTATTTAAACAATCAGTTTGAAAGACAGTATTTGGATAATGTGTTGGAGTGCAAATTTTATCTGGATTTCTTAAGAATTAAGAACAGATTAAAGCAGAAATGAGGGCAAGTGAGCAGACGTACAACAATTGCTAAAAACAGACTGATCTGTTCATCACTATCTGTCCATGATTGTTGATTACAGGAACAGTTGCTGGGAGTCAGTACATTAGTTAAGATTAGCAAAAAAATAAAGAAAATGAAAGAGATGCTACTTCTTTGAAGTTGGCGGTAGACAGAATCTAGCAGAAGTTGGTAAGAAGAAAGAGTGCATGTAAGCACTGGCATATGGATTGCATCCTGTTCTAACGATAAGGCTCGCCAGACAACATATTCTAATTGGAATTAGGTCAAAACTAGTCAGAAGAATTCTCACTTTTAATGCCTTTTTAAAAAATGCCTGTTCTTAGTATTAGAGGTGTAAAAGAGTCTTCCATAGATCTTGCTGAGAGTGTATTAGGTCTTTTTGTCCCAGCAAATGCATTATAGGATGAAAGCTACCAGGAATGATATTGGATTGGCAATCATCTAGCTCCAGTAAGTCTGACTCACATTTGAGAATGTAGGTTTTTTTCTCTTTCCACAGCAATCATCCAGTTTTTGAAATAATCCCTCCTGCTGTATTCCTAAACAAATTAGCAAATTTATGTCTGGCTGTTTCATTAACAAAATGAAGACTCAATCTGCTAAACTGGAAATCTATCTTGTGAAGCAAGAAGTAAAGCAGATGAGAACTATTCCAGTCCCTACATCCCTATTCAGTGCTTGGATTCAGCCCAATCCAAGCACATTGGATTGATTCCAAAAAGCGCTTCATAGTGTACAGGAGCCTGTTTGTAGCCTCTGCTGCAACTTCTTAAAGAGCTGTACCTTATCCTGGGATCACTGCATCTTTTGCTTGGATTCCACAGGTCTTTGCCATCCTCAGTTGCTGCACAACCCTAGCTGAGGATCTCCTTCAAGGCAGTGCAGAAGGATACTTCAGTGACATTTCTTCATGTTCTGAAGCATCTTTTGGAAATCAGAGCCCTACTCAATTTTTTGTTGTTCTTGGCTTCTCTCTTTATTGCCAGAGATTGGTTGATTGATTAAAGTATTTATATTCCATCCCAGTCATACAACGTTGGGCAGTTCACAATAAAAATCCATGAAACATATGCAACAGCCTCACCCACAATCAGTCCCATAAAATAACCATTAAATACCCTGTAAAACCAACAGTCCAACCAGAACAGTCCCCCATAACAAAGAGGAAAATTGTACAACCAACAGCACTTAAGCTCCTGTGGCCCAGCAGAACAACACTATTTTAACCACCTTGTTGAAACAACACAACATGTGGATTGCCCAAAACTCAGAGGGGGGAGCTGTTCCTAAGAGATGGGGCTGCTACCAAGAAGGCCTGATCCCGGTCCTACATTCTGACTCTTCTCACCTCTTGGAGTAGGGTACCTGAAGCATTCCTCTATGATGGAGCTTACAAGATGGCCAAACTCCCATTGATGGAGATGGTGCCTAAGATGTCTCCTCTGTAGGTCATCTGCATCTGCATCTCTTTTGGATGTGAGATATAAACTTTACACATTATTACATTTGGACTGGCCTCTCTTCAGATCAGAGCAGACATCATAGTTCTCCTCCCTCCTTGCATAAGAAAAGGTAGGCTAGGTGGATAGATGGTGATTGCTTTAAGCCTATTTAGTGAACTTTATGACTGAACAGTGATTGTAACTCAAGTCTCCTAATTTCTTGCCTGACATGTTAATTACTATATCATATTGGACTATTATATTAAGCAAAATAAAGTTCTAGAGTGACTGACTAATAGGAAACAAAAGCACACAGTGATCCTGACTGTGAATGACTCAAAGATGGATGTTTTTATTATTGTTTTTAGGTGCAAAATTTACTTCAGCTCTTCATTCACAGCAACTTAGACAAGAAAGTACAACTTAATATTTTTCTTTTCATAGGAAAATGACTTCTTGCAGGAATGCCTTGAAGCAATTCAGCAAGATTTTGTCATTTTTAACAGAGAAAAGTGAGTTTGAAACATGTTTTTAAAAGGGAGTAGGGGTGGAAGGGTGAGTGGGTTGGCTGGATAATAATTACAATTTATGGAGAAAAAAATATCCTATTCTCAGTTCCTTTTATGTCTCTCCAAAAACCTACATCTAAAGTTGGGAGGTCCTTCTGATCATCGAGTGATAGGGAATGTGGGTTATAATCTGAGACATTTAAAACATACATTAATTAGAAGTCTTACATAGCAGACTTATAAATCTTAGTTGGCCTCAAAAGGATCATAAAGATGGCACCAGATAAACTTCTTAGGCACTGTTGTACAATAACAGGAATGCTATTATTTAGATGTTCCTGCTCCTAACATTTACTTGCCCTATTTCATTTGGTGGGACTGCTCAGAGCAGTTTTAAGATTCAGGCAAGTAAATATGGAAAGTGCAGTCTTTTAGGGAGCCTTTGGAAGGAAGGCTATGCTGGGGACAGTAATGCTAGGGGGAGAGCCAGTGAGTGTATGGAGAATTAAGTGAGAAGGCACCTTAAATGTAGTTCTACAAACCTACCTAAACCCCATTCTCCATCAAAAGCCTCATCTCAAAAGAATGCTTTAATCACCATTTACTTTCACCACATACATAACCAGCTTGCTCTTCTGTACAGGTTGAAGAAGAGTCAGGATCAGATGAATGAGTCCATTTCTCCTCCTGAAACCACCGATGAAACAGAAACTGAAACAGAATCTGAACATTCCAACATAAATATGTGTAGCTCAGTATGTTCTTCTACAGGCAGCAGCTAGGACGATGGGGCAAAGGGGCCAGAAGCTTGTGCGCCTCTTAAATAAAACATTCTCAGGTTGCAATGACAAGCAGATAGATGACACTACAGCAAGTACTTTTGTGGATGGGGAAAAAAAGAAGAAGAGTCACACAAACCAACACTGTAGAGCCACAGAGAAGGCAAATAGTTCTTACAGAACTCATGGATTTAAAAAGATCTCCTGTTACCAGAGACTTTGCTACTATGCAACACTTAAGCAAAACTGTTCCATTTCTTTCTTTGTCCTTTTCTTTTCATGGGTGACAGATAGCAATCTGAAGTACTTTTCAGGGACAAGAATGTAGCGTAGATCCAAGAAAATGCAAATGAGAGCATGCAAGGTGGGAGGGCTAGAAAAGATTGCCAAGGCAATCAAAACTGCCCTATCACAGTATTTTCCTTACACTCAAGCAAAAGCTAATTGCATGCAAAATTGTCTCTTGATGTTTTCAGAGCACCTGAGGATTCTTACAGAGCATGGCAGTTACAGTTACCTGTTGGGACTGGGCTCAACTGATACCCTTGACTTAATGTTCTTTTTAATAAGTTTAATCTCTGATTTAACAGGTGCTTTGGAATCCATCCATCTAGGGCCAAACGCCCTGAATTTTACAGCTGGATTTTTTAAATGGTGTAGTGCAAGGTAATTTTTTTTCCTCAACCCACTGCATCTTTTCACAAAGCTGTCCTTGACTTTCAAGGAGTGTTGTATGCTTACAAGCACCTGAACTGAGGTTAGCATTTTCTTCACTCCTATAAAGGAGCAGGATACTAACGTGGCTTTATTGAGATGCTCTAATGATCAAGGAAGTAACATTTAATGCACCTCTTTATGCTGTTCAAAGTGTAATTTAAATATATCAGTTACTGGCGCCTGTTTTAACTTCTTACAAAAATCAGAAAGTTTTGATGCTTGTTCCAGCTGTGGATACTGCCTTTTTCATTGTTTCAAAAGTCATTTCTCCCTCTTTCTTATGCCAAGGCTGCTATCCTACAATACTTACCAGGGAATAAAGTCCACTGAACGTAGTGGATTTACTCCAGGTAAACATAGTAGGATTAACTTATGGCTTTATCTTACTATATTGTGGCTTTATCTTATTCTTAAAACTCTAGGAATCCTTGACACTAGGGTATATGTTGTACATAAATCTTGTAACTCTTTTCACTCCAGTTTTGTTACCAAATGTCAAAGAGATTGTCCTGTTTGTATTCCTGTTGTGTTTTCTTGAAAGAAGGTGAACTTTGCATGCTTTTAATGTTGATACATTTTTTCCCCTGTTGTATTATTGAAGCCAATTTGCCAGGGTTGGACTAGAGTCTTTTGGAGACAGGAATCCTTACAGCCTTACTTCTGAAGCTACAACTTTCTCTGCAACAAGTTCCTTTTTATTTCTCTGCTGTTAAGGAGCATCATAGAACGGAATTCCGACCAACTCATTATCCAGTCAATTCAACAAATGACACAACAGAGGTGTAACCCTTTTATATGGACTACAGCAAACACATGTTTAATTTTCCACAGTTTTATGTGGAGGTTAGTAAGAAACAAATATTGTCCACCACCACCGTTACATAAGAATCATTAGAAAGGGAGGAGGAATCAAGTTTGCTTGTACAGATATACAAAGAAACCAAAGCGTTCTTCTCAGTGCCACTATTTGTAGATTATAGCCAGGTAAATGGCATATCCACTCTACAGTTGAATGGTAAATGTTATTAAGTTGTGTTAGTACTATAATTAAAACCTCACTTGATTTCAAGGCAGAAGCTCTCAAGGAGATTTACAGTCCAGATATATAGGTTATGGTATCCCATCAGCCGTTTTATCATAGTGTCAAAACCTCTGATGTTGTACTACAAGCATAGCTGTCCATGCCAACAGGAATGTTCAAAGTCAAAAGCCTTCTAAGTGATGGGAAAACGAACAGTCCTTTTCCTACACTAATGAGCAAGGTCTAGTAGTGAGCACAGAACCATATTCAGTCCAGTGTAGTTATTGTCCCCATGGGATATGGAATCCTAACACTAAGGATTCGTAGTTTCATACAGGATTATAACCATGTTCAGACAAGCCTGATTCCAGTCTTATTTCAGACCATCCACATATTCTTTTTCCTAATGCCTAAAGAAAGCTAAAGTGCCAATATGGTTTGCCAACTGATCACTGTTCAGTTGCATCGTAGCACAATAGATTCTACAGAGAAAAAACTCCAAATTGAATTCAAGACCTAAGTGTGGGTGACATTTGCATGTTCTAGTAATCAATCATAGATTTAAAATGTTGCATTTTTAAAAAGAATAGTTGCCTCTGACTAGTTTGTTTAGCAAGTGTTTAGTCTAATTAGCCTTGTGTTGAATGTTCTGTGTGAATCTAAAAAAATGGCTTTCTTGTTAAAATGTTTGCATTGATATAAGCCAGTAAGTGTGGTTATTGGCTAATGAATTCATAGGAAGTCCAGTGTTTTTTTTTTTAAATACAAAATAAAAGAGAAATTCTTTAAAAGATTTACAATCACAATGTTTAATAAAATGCAAAGCCAGCAAAGCATGTCTTATTGATTTTTATGGGGGGTTGTGCTTCTGTTTAAGGAAACCAATAAGGCTGAACAGTGCTTAAATTTGGCTGAATTATACTCCAAAGTTTTCCCTTATTATTTTCTCTTTCTTTCTCTGCCTCTCCCTTTCTCTGTCTTCAGAAATGAGTTGTGCCATGCAGACATTTTGTACGGAGTAGTAGATCTGTTTTTATTTATTTAAATGATTTATAGAGCTGCCCATCTCACAGCAGGTGCAGACACAGAGAAGGCACAACTCCAGAGTCCAATAAGATGACATGGTTTGATGGAAAGGACCCAGAGCATACTCTCCCGGCTGGACCTGGTGGGGCAGGCAATAAAAATGGGGGACAGGCAGTTCTGAAAATAGCCTGGGTCTGTGCCATGTGGGGCTTTATAGGTGGTAACCAGCACCATGAGTTGGACTCAGGTGCCTACTGGGAGTTGGTCCAGTTCCCTTGCCATTCTTACTTGTGGGAATCAATAAAAGATGCCCAGCTGCAAGTCCCCTCCTATAGTTCTATCCTCTATCCTATCATTTTCTTTAGAGGGCTGCAGATGTGAAGAGGCCTTGCTTGAATACATTCACTCTTCTCCTCAGGGCTGTTGTCTGCAACCTCAGTCAGCTGGAGGAATGTATTGCAATTGCCATTCTCTCCCTTTCCAGAGGAAAGGAATGAACATGCTTCTGAACTGTCTTCTGGAATGATAGGATTGTAGGTGGATTCTGATAATCACAAGTCTCCTGGCACCTGCTTAAAAGCATATTTGATGGTACTTACAACCATGTGGGAAGGTAATCTACAGTGCCTGTGTTACTTAACTCAGTGCCATCACTGCTGCACTGTCAGGGAAAAGCAGATAGATGGTGATTCTGGATGTAGCAATATCTTTCAAAACTACAGACTAGGTTTTCTAACCTAAAGCCCAATACATGTGTTGGAACTTAACCTTCAACATTTGTGGCCAATATGGCCATTGATCATACTGGATGAGTGTGTTAGGAACTGTAGCCCAATATATCTTGAGGGTATCAAGCAGAGGAAGTTATTATAGACACTCACCTCCTGACATTTATAGGAACTTAGAAACCTTATTCAGTAGGGAGTATTCCACTTATTGAGGTTGAATTCAACTTCCTTTAGCTTAGGTCAGTATTTCTGAACCTTGGCAACTGGAAGGTGTTTGGACTTCAACTTCCAGAATTCCCAAGTCAGCATACTGGCTTGGGAATTCTGGGAGTTGAAGTCCACATGCCTTCAAGCTGCCAAAGTTGAGAAACACTGGCTTAGGTAATAACTGAACTAGTGGCTTGAGCATTTCAGCTGTGTGCAAAATATTTCCTCCCTTTCGTATATATTCATCTGTTTTTCCAGGACTGCACTGCTGGTGTTCAATAGCACAGAATCCTTGAGGAAAGGTTTAACACACACTCCTTTCACAATTTACTTATTTTTAAAGCATGTTCCTTTATACTTTACATATAACAAAACCTATGTGCTTCAATTTCACTTTAATGTATGAAATCTGTGGGAAGTAATCTGAGAGATATGGTTTCTAAGTCATAACTGTAGAGTAAATGCTTATATTGAGCACAAATGCTATGGAATCAGTCCTCAACTGACTTGTTAGTTGGGCAATGAACTGACTGGTTTCATCAGTTAGGATGGACTGTATATTTTTCATTCCCATACAACGTGCTTGTTTTTCCATTGAACATGGAAGGAGGGGATATATATTTTTGATGTGGCAGTCCTATCTCTACAAGATGCACTGTTAAGGATGATGGATCCTGGGACTTGTAGTTCAGCAATATCTGAAGGACTACAGCTTGTGGATGTCTGATTGGACTTCTCCTCAGGTACAACCTCAGCCTGCTGTGAGTGACTTCCTTACCACAAAAGTACTAACCCTATTGGACTAACCCTCACAGAAAATATAATCACCCAACTTTGCCAAGATAATTCTGAAATATTATAGAATTTTGATGCATGGAAGACGACTGCTCTTTTTTAGTTACTACAGCATCACTTCACTTGCTAAAATATCCCTATCAAGGTTCATATTTTTCTGCAAATTGTACTGCATGCTAATGAACATTATTTCCTATGGGGAAATTTCAGTGATAATGGTATATTCATGTCATGGGGTACAAAAAGGACATTGGATTTGTAGTGTGAGAAAATGCAGTATGTTGCTAGTGTGCAACAATTTGGTCATGGCCACGGAGAAGCCATATTGAGAGACGGTGGACCTCATTTTCCTATTCTAGTGGGAATTGCAGAACAAAATAGAGGAAGAATAACGTTTAGCTCAGGTACATATCTATTAAATGGTAATTCTGCGGAGTATTTGGAGAATTCCCAAGGCCCATTGCATTGCATTGCATGTTAAAAAAGGGTAGGGTTTCAATCACAGGGCTGCAATAAATTGCACCCGTTCCCCACTAGAGGGGGCTAGAGGCCTTGTTTGGTACTGAGTTTGAAATGAAAGATGGAACTCGTTTGAAAGGCATAACCGATAATTATTATACACTATGGATTCCTGCTGTATCTTTTATCAAGAATTGGGCTAGCCAAATTCAATAGGTTGAAAAGAAATGGCAGCACAAAATTAAACATTTCTTAATAAGCAAGAGAAGGTAGGATGCAAACAGCCAAATATGTAACCTTAAAGTCAGTTCGCGTGTGCCTGCTTCTTGTGGGCACACCTGCTTTTTAACATCTTTCCAAGAAACCTGGAGATTCTGAAAATTGGCACACTTTTCTGACTTCTGTGTTGATCTAATAAAGGTGATATTTCTCTAATCAAGATTTTGAAGAAATGGAATGGTGGTGGAATGGAAGACAAGAGTAATGACTGCCAGTTGATGGCACACATTGAGAAAATATTGTTCATTTAATTATGAACCTTTTCTAAAGATTAATTTTTATCCCCACTTATTTCATGTGGAAAAAAAGAGGGGGAGGGGCAGCTCCAGAGGCAACCATTGACTGTTTTGAGCGCAAAAATATGTTCACTTTAGCAAAACATAAAATTTCACACAATAAATGCCCAAAAGCTTGTGCACCGCTGATTTGGAATATTTCACTATCGCACTAATTGTTTCAAAGTGTCTAACAAAAATTAAAGGCAGCAAATAATCATAAAAGCTAACAAATGGGACCAGCATAAAAACCTTGAAGCATTGTACTGTTAGAGATTTCACTACATTTCATTCCTGTCTCTTTCCTAACCGAATCTTTCTGCCTAGCTGAGGCAGTTGGGAGAAAAAAACCCTCTGAGGCATAGTTGTCAAGGTCTGCTTTTAAAGAAAGGGTGGAAGAGCTGGGTATCAGAAATATGACCACTGTGAATATCAGCCATCAAACCCTGAGATAGATAGAGAGATAGATGATAGATAGATATGATAGATAGATAGACAGACAGACAGTCCTCATTTAGCAACCGCAATTGGGACTGGCAAGTCGTTGTTAAGTGAAACGGTCACTAAGTGAAACTGTAACTCTGCTTATGATCTTACTTCAGCTTTCCTTTGCTTTACATACCAGCAAAGGTCATAAATGTGAGGATTGATCATAAAGTTACTTTTTCATCAGTGTCATACCTTTGAACAGTCACTAAATGAAGCAGTCGCTAAACAAGGACTGCATGTAGATAGAGGAGAGAGAAAGAGTCTGAATTCTGTGAGATACTGCATGAGAATGTAGAAATCTCAGGAGATTTTGGCCATCTTGTGCAAGATCTTGGCAACCTGACCCAAGATTTCAAGGTGTATTAAATTACATAGTAACCACCTGGGCCTATCAAGGTTGACATCCCCTGCCATAAAGCCTCTTTGGTATCCACGCCTAAATGTTCAGCTTTTGTTCTTTTTGAACATTCATCTTGCTGGAAGTGCCAAGACTTACTACCACTACATTTGTATGACATTTGGGAGCTCCTGATTTGCCAAGAGCTCCTGCCCAATTGGATGTTTATTTACATATTTACCATTATTCAAATGGATGAGTCTGCTGATTTTGTCTATCAGAAGCAGCACCCCAATAATATTACGTCAATGGAAGAGACACACATGTTCAGTCCATAAGCAGTGGGCAAAGTCAGAGGGTTGCCTGTGCCTGCAGGTTCTCTGATGCAGCTAGAAAACATCTGCAGGACACCTGAATATCACAATCAGTGAACATCAGTGACTTTTTAATCCTTTGAACAGATGTAAAGGCGGCTTTTCATTTTATCCTTAGAATCATCTGAAGGGATTCTGGGTCAGCTTCTTATTAACTTTTTCAAATAAATCTCAACAAATACCTGAGTTTTTTTCAGCTGAATGTCTTTATGGTTTTAAAGTTCACTATACCAGCAATTCATTGGCTTTGGGTAGAGCTGTATGGAGTAAGCCCTTTTCAACAGTCTGAGTTATTTTCTGCCTGAATATGAACAGATCATTGCTTTTTTCATTTGATCTAAATGATCAGCAGGAAATACAGTCACCTCCTGATTCTAAAGCAGTTTTTATTACTCCTGTATTTCCACCTTAATTTTTTGTGGGCTACTGTGTTTTCTGGTGCCAGTGTATTCATCAGATTATGAGCTTAGGGGCATTGCACTTTGCTAACATTATTTCATTTGAGAACTACCCATGGTATTTCAGGATGAATTGCAAGAAAAGTACTGAACCATGGAAATTCTTAGAGATTTATATCTCATCATGTTGGTACTATCTCAAGGCATCTGACAGAAGCCAGGGAAATTAAAATCCAAGACCACAACACAATAAAGCCAGCAGTGGTGGAGATAAAAAAACCAAGAGAAGAATAGTAACACGAACTGGTGTCTTTTTTTTTTTTTTTAAACCAACCTTTTAAGTAATATAAATGTAGGACTTGATAGAGTTAAAAGCCGAAGTGAATGTGGTGGGCTTGGTCTAGTACCTAAAAGTTAACAATGAAGGCACTAGATTAACAT